CTTATTATAATAGTAGGATTTCAATTGGAAGTAGGAAAAAAGAATACTCTGTAAGCTCATAATAAATTGTTCAAAAAGAGGTCAAGAAAAGATCTTCATTTGTACGTAAAAAAATTGACTTCTTATTTATGAGTTCTTTAACAGCTCAGAATTCTGAGCTCATAAAAAGGAGCTGTTTAAGACGTCATGTTAGAACTTCTACACGAAGTTATTTAAAAGACTTCATACTGAAATCTTTCTGAATTGGATGCTGACTGGGAATCATTTGATTCAATTAATGAAAATATGAAAAATAGTGTTAAAATATTTGAAAATGTTATTTTTTTATTTAATTATAATTAAATAATAATAATAATAAACTATAGTTTATTCGTGTAATTATCTAAACAAATTACACTCGTGCATAAAAATAATCAGATAATTTTGCATTCAAGCATATTGCCTTTTAAAAAATGCATTTGGTCATTTTCATATTTTGAGGAAAGAGCCCTCCACCTTCGGTGGCAATAGGCAATGGCTAAGATGACCAACCGTTCTGATTTAACCAGAACTATACTGTTTTTGAAAACCATGTTCTGGTTGTAAATTAAGTAAAGTAAAAGTTCTGTTTTTCAAAAGCTTTTCTGTTTTTTTCTGTTTTCATACTTACATATACCTACAATACTAATTAAGCCATAAACATAAAATTATAATTTCCACTTTGCCAGATTTTTCGCCCAATCGTGCAACTTTGCTCGCCCTACTCCCACTAAATACATTCGCGTTGGCGTTCGCCACTTGACTCTTCTCAAACGAACTAATAGTTCGGAACTATTTTAGTATTGCGCATATCCCTGACGACTGTGCGTTTTATTGTGGGTAAATATTGTAATATCTATTTTTTTTATTTCAAATCTGTGGGTAAAAGGCATAAGGGGATATGAGTATGAGTATGAGTATAAGAGACGTATAACCAGCCCCATTTCCTCTTGACTCTCAAACCCCGTACAGGCCTATGTTTACTTACGCCGATTTTTGTTCTTCCCCAGCAACTGCACGGCTTCACCCGTGTTTGCTGGGGTGCGAATGTCCATTGCGTTCCGTACTGTCCCCTATTTGGGGCTCGAGAGCGAGAGGCGAATAGTTATAATAGCCGTTCCCGGGTTCGCCGGGCCTATGCTATACGCTCAGTGAGGTATGGATGAGGGACGGGAGGGAGTTGGTTTTTGGGGGACAATTACGCCGACTTAAAACTAAGTACGACGCGGAATCCCCCTAGACCAGTCGGTTAGTATTACTCCAAACATTTGGGATTACTATTTGGAGTTGGGGAGTTGTTATTACGCTGCAGGGGTGTAGTTTCCTAGTCGAGGTCTTCGTCTTGTTCATTATTGTCATTATCCGTGTCGGATAGTTCCTGAACTTGGTAAAGTGTGTCGGTTGTTTTTTTTTTTTATTGTTGTTTAGTTGCTCCCAACTGGTCTTGTTACTTTGTGAGAAGTGCATGTATTGTGCTACGTGTCATGAAATGTGAACAATGGTCTACCGATTTTTTTTGTCTTTAAGATCTAGTTTAAGGGTGGCTTGTAGTATGTTGTTGCGTTGTCTACGAGTGACGTGGACCCAGTGTTTAATTGGGCTACTCTTACCCTTTTGGTAATGGTTTTTCCCATTGGTACGATAATCGGCACACATGATAAACTCCCCCGCAAAGAAATACAACCCCCCGCGGCCCCCCCGGAAGACAATCCACACAGCGGCAATCGTACTACGACTACCGCCGTGTAGACCATCCCCCGTATAGGCCACGGGAGGCTGCACCCCCCCCGCGAAGGAGCCCATCACTCGTGCCGAGCGTAAGGCCGCAATCGCTGCGATAAGGCAGTTCCCAGTGGGGGGTATTTTTTATACTTTTACAAATTTTATAATTTTCTAAAAGTTCAATTCTTTCTCTTTTACTTTTTTTTTTATGATTAAATTATAATAATTATTGTTACATAATTATTACAATTATTGTAACTTAATTTTCGAAAATTCGATAATTTTATTTACCCAATTCGTTAATTTCAACTTTTACATCTGGCAATACTGCTATTCACACTCAACTTGTTTATGTTATTTTTGTCTTCTTGCATGTTTAGTTTATTTATTTATTTATCTTTTCGATGGTTGTTTATGATTTGTCTGCTATGAGAAATTGAGGTTGTTTGTTTAAACTTAAGGAAATGTTCTTATTCTATTTTAATTTAGTTTTTGGGACAATAAAGGAATTCTTAGTATTTTCTTTTTGCAACATTGTGAAATGCTTACATAAACATTGTGAAATGCTTTTATAAACATTTAGCGAATATACGGTAAGACATGCAATTGGAAAAAATAACTTAGCTTGACCATTTGGTGCTGGAATTGAACCATTTCGCATGCCGCTCGCACGTGTGGTAGTCCAGTAAATTTCGTGGAAGTGATCGTCTCTCTCACACCTTTTAACCAGGTCCAACACTTGAGGATTTAATCAATGGGGGGAGGTACCACACACAATTTGCACTCTTTTGCACTTGGGACAGTTATCACGTTTAGAATCGATTGATTTTTTATTATTTTTCAGTACAGCCTTAAACGTATTCGCATTAATTCAGGAAATATATTTATATTTAGCGGGTATACGCTTTTGTTAGCATATGACATGTGCTAACAAAAGGGTACACGCTAACCATAAATATATTTCCTGAATTAATGCGAATACGTTTAAGGCTGTACTGAAAAATTGATCATTAATTGATCATTAATGATCAAAGGCATAAGGGGATAAGTCAAAATTTTGACTTATCCCCTTATGCCTTTTGTCCACAGAAATGATATGCCTCTGTAAAGAGGAAAATGTATCTTTAATGCAGAAATGCAAAAGAATTACCCATATTGTTGTGTTTATCTTAAACAAAGTCCTGTAGGGTAGATGCACCGGTTGTGGCACAGTTTTCCCTCCTCGAATGACAGATATAGTATAACTAGATATCTTTGTCTTAGAACTTTTATCTAATTTGAAAAATATAGGTCAGACAAAGACAAATTCAATAAAATAGCCGAAAAAAGCAGTTTCGCTAGTTGTGGCCACTTATTTTCTACTTGTGGCCAGATGCCTCACCAGTTGTGGCCATCCTATTGAAATGCATATAAAATAAGAAGCAAAATGAACAGTAGTTTATTAAAAAAACCTGATTTACATCATCAAAAAAAAGAGTTTCATAACAAGCCTTAGCACTTTTTTTTCGTATAAAATATTAAAAAATACATTTTTTAGTCAAAGAATTAAGTACTAAGTAGAAACAAAAATGAACAATATACAGAAATAAAAAAACAAAACTAAGTTTCTTTATTATAAGGCTTTCATTTCGGGAACTGCACAGACTCCTCTGGTATTTATGGCTTTAGGATTGTTTATTTTTAACAGTATGTCTTGGACTTTGTACCACAATAGATCCGGCGAATCAGGCCATTTCCAATGGTTTATTCCAGTTTTACAATACAATTTTTTTCAATTTTTTCATAAAACCAGTAAGGGAACACAATATATCTAAAATGGTAAACATATTTTTTACTTTATCAGTGTTAGCCTCTTCTATCAAAGGAGTGTTTGTATTAAAATCTTCTTTGGTCGGTTGCTGTTCATCGTTTTCATCATTACTCTCCCTGGACTCTTTGGTATTTTCATCACAAATTTGTTCTTCATTAGGTGTAGGCTTATCTAAAAACACTTCATTGTTTTCCTCTTTGATAAACTTTTTTTTGTTAAATTTTTTCCTTTGCTCTTTTTGCAGCCTTTTCTGCTGCTAAATTTTCCTTAGATTTTTCTTTGGCTTCAAAAATTTCTATCCACTTATCTGAATTAACCACTGAAGGAAGGGGTATTTTTTCTTTTTTTATGAATATTACACTCTTCTTGGATTTTTTGTACAGAGTACAGAAGGCCTTCTTTATTTAAAGGAATATTGAAATAATTTTCGCGGTGCCATAATTTTTCTAAAACAAATTAATTTAAGGCTGTTAGGTGTCCCTTTTCTACCTTGTTTAGTATTACATTTTGCCATCTCTTTCTACTGCATGGCCACAACTGGTTTTCATGACCCATTTGTAGCCATTTAAGGTCCACAACTGGCTCAGAACCCACTTTTGATGCTCCAATTGTGGCCACTATTAATTTAATTATTTATAAGTTAAATATCTACTTCAAAGTGTTAAAATAACATGTAAAATTCCTTTATAAGTCAAATATCATCCACTTTGAACACAAACATTTAAATTCTTACACAGAATCATGCATTAACTTACCTCGTGTTTCTTAACTAGTTTAATAGTGGCTGTTAATATTTTAGATTTATTTTGTATATGGCCACAAACGGTGCGATGGCCACAACCGGGGCATCTACCCTAGAGAATTCTTTAAAGTTTTTCCCAATAAACAACTTTTGGGCAAAAGACAAATCACAATTGCATATTAAAACTATAAAATCATTATTAATTGTTAAAACTAATTTCAATCAACCATGCTTTAAAAATATGAAGTAATAAAAATTTTTACTTAATTAATAAAAAAAATTTACTTGCAAGAAAAATATAGTTTTAAAAAATCTTAATTTGTAATAATATTATTATTATTAGAAATAGGTACATGTAAACATTTTCTAAAAAATACAGATTTTTTATTAGAGTTCTGGTTTTTCTTTCAGGAGAGTTGGTCACCTTTACAATATGCTTTCAAGCAAAATTATCGATAATTTTTTAAGCACCTATACCAGGAAATCGGCAAGTGCAAGACATTTCTCGTCACGTCGTGTTAGCCTGTATATTTACTTTTACACACTTTGTGCTTCTACATTTAAAGTGCATATTTTTTTTGGCCCGGGGCGGCTTCCTATAGACACGGTTATTAATCTATGGACACGGTTCTGTATTTTTAAAACCCAACTGCTATTAAAATTACAGTTACCTAAAGTACAAATTGTACTGTACATAGATTTTACGTAGATGGCGCCTCCCGTCAAGAAGCCAAAAGTCCAACCTTAAATATTTTCCAAATGTCAATAAACAAACGTAAATAATTGATCAATAAAATGTCCATGCCAAGAAATCTACCGCAAAGCAAAGAAGCTCTTTTAAAATCCTACAGAACGCGTCTTAAAGACGATGTGAAAAGCATGCTGGAAAATTTTGAAGGTAAAATGAAATATGTTACTTAGAATGTAAACAAAATGTAATGTTTTTCGTTTGTTATAGGCATTGTTAAGCTTGCAAAGGGTGAACATGATACTCAGTTATCAAGAATGACACAATGTGAGCAAGATACATATGAAATGCATGTAAGGGCAGCCAACATCGTAAGAGCTGGAGAATCACTTATGAAACTTGTTTCTGATATTAAACAGTACCTTATTTTAAACGATTTTCCTTCTGTTAATGAAGCTATTACACAAAACTCAAAATTATTCAGGTAATATTAAATTATTATATAAATTATAAGATTTACTAAATGCATTTTCGTAGGACAAAACAATCTGAATGTGATCAAAAGTTAATGTCATTGCGAGATGATATGGCAGCAGATTTATACGATTTAGAAGAGGAATATTATAGTAGTATTAATAAATAATTTTACTTTATTAATTTATTTATTATAACAAAAGCCCTATTTGCTTAAATTATTAAAAAAAAACTTTTATAGTGCTTTTAAACTAAGGGAATAATTTTATAAAAAAAAGTCTCCATTTTTATTATAACCAGTGAAGTCGATCATTATGTGGAGGATGATTATGGTTGTCATTTCTTCTTATAACTGTTCCATCAACTGTTGTAACACATCTTACTTTACAATGGCTTTTGTAGTAGTCTGAGCACATCCAAAACAGTCTCTTTGCTTTTTTTTTGGTTTAAATAAAACAGGTGATTGTTTAAAACCATGCACTTTTTATTTCTTCTTGTTACTCCAAATGAAGGGTTCACTAAAAATATTACTAATTTTATTATAAAGTTTACTAAAAACAATTTTTTTTTAATAATTACAATAAACAAACAAAATGCTTGTTTTGTAAGTTACTTAAATTAAATACCCAACTGGTGGGAGGAAAGAAAATTAAAATTAAAGTTAAGTGAGATTTTTGGTTGCAAGGTCCGGATGGATGGTAATCTTAACCACTGTATGAAAATTAACCACTGTATGAAAAATTAAATTTGTGATCAATAAATTTGGCTCTGGTCTAACCCATGGTATAAATAATGGGTTAGACAGCACGAAATATTTCTGAAATATGTCAGAAATTTTTCATTAATGGGTTAGACAGCACGAAATATTTCTGAAATATGTCAGAAATTTTTCATTAAATTATTAAAAATTTCGTTTATATAACTGAAATATTTCAGTACTACTTCTGAAATATATAAATGACCGCATAATGTTTCAATGAAATATGCCTGAAACAATACCTACAGTTATATATATAACTGTAGGTATTGTTTCAGTAATATTACTGTAACTTTTCAGAAATATTACTGTAATGTTTCAAAAATATTCCTGCTCACTTAACTTTTACATTTTTTTGGAGTAAAATGAACATTTTTGCAAAGCATCATTATAAATATCCATTTTACTAAAAGAAAGTAAAAGTGAATGAACCTTTTAACTCCCTGTTAAATAATAATAAGTATTGATTTAAAATTCTTTAATGGAACTAAGAAAATATAATAAAAAAAATAACAATATACCAGATCCAAGGACCAATTTATAACTATAGGTACCTTCTTATAAACTTTCATATTTTGCATTTTAGTAAAAAAGTTATTCGTCGTAAAAAATTATTCGGAAAAATCCATGCATAGCCATCTTCAAAATTTTGAAATATATTTTATATATCTGGGTGAAATGTCCCCTGATGGTGTTACCCCGTGATATTTAATAAATCCAAATGAGTTTGACCTACACTTTTATTGTTATTAAAAATAAGAGTTTTGAAAATTTTTTATTCAAGGTCAAAGATCAAAAAAATGATTTTTCGCGATTTTCAGCAAAACGGTAAGTTTTATCATAAAAATACACCAGACAAAAATTGTAGATCATAAAATAATCTATAAAAAATGTATCAATACTTTTTTTCTACGAGGCACCGTTTCTGAGATAAAACGATTCGAAAAGTTGTAAAAGTTATAATCGCCATAATATGCACTCGTTTCCACGCCACCTATGAGGTAGTTTACTAAGCGCGTTTTTAAACGTGGTTTCTCCACTAGGCCTATTTCACGGGTCACTTGTGATCCTGTTTAATTTGAAACTATTGCTAAATAACGGAAATTAGCAATGATTGGAAAAGATAATAGCGATGTAAATTTAAAAAAAGTACTGAAGTTTATTCGTCTGATTCGTAACATTTAAATTCTTTTTCTTGTTCTTCTTGATCTTCTTCTTGTTCTTGTTCTTCTTCTTGTTGTTCTTCTTCTTCATCCTGGGTTCAAGTAAATTGCGTCAATAGCGATGTATCGCATCTTACCTCGTTGGAATTAAATGAATCCTCCACTGTTGGTGATTCAACATTAGAGCACGACCGGCCTTGACAATTCGTACATGCCAGAGAATAAAACAGTCCGACTTTTTTGCAACCACATTTAGCACTGCATCCCTTTTTGCAGTTGCAAAAAATTGTGTTCAGTAGTTTTTCCGGCGCAGGTGGGAGTAAAGTTTGAACTGGTTCTAATGTGTTTTTGACCAACTTCCAACCCTAGTCTGTAGGGTCTAGCTGATAACCAAGCCACACTTGAACATGGTAATATACCCGAAAAAGATGTTGATGAGCAGCAACTGAGGTTGGAGGATGACAAGCTAATTGAACTTGTTTTTTACTTTTAGAATTTTTAACGAAACATGCATATCCATACTTATCAAAACAGGTAGTTTTTTAGGAGCTCCGTATATATAAATAAGAAATCGAATGCCGATAACTTCTTGTCCCGTAGACCCTTTTCCTCGAGTTTGGACGAAAAATCGCTCGTTCGAAAGTTAAGCGAAGACAACGGAACGTGCCAAATTTGACGGAAAAATCGAAAAAAAGTGGACTTGGACCTTTTCGACACCGGAAAAATTTGGTCCGCGGATAGGTCTCGTGGGCAGAAAAAAAGGATGCAAATTTCAACCTTCAACGGCCTCCGAGCTACGGCGCTTAGAAAAAAAGGATATACAGACAACGGAAAAAATAAATATTGCAAACGGGCCGGATACGCCGGCAACTTTTCGAACAGCATTCTTGTTTTATTTTTTTCGAAAAATTTTCAAACGTTTTTTAGGTCGAGAGAAATTTTCGAAATTGGCCGAACGAAATACACGAATCGACGGGAAAAAGACCAAAGTTTGACATACTAAAAGATGAGCTTCATCGAATAAAAACTAATAGGCCAGAAGCCCGTTTAATTTTTGTTGGGTATTTAAAAAAGTTAACCAATTAAAATCCTCGAAATCAAATCGATAAGGTGGCAAATGACAGGTGGCATATGACAGTGACAAATGACAGGTGACAGATGACAGGTGACAGATGACAGGTGACAGATAATAGGTGACAGATGTCAAGTGGACAGATGACAAGTAACTAATGACAGTAGACAGATTACAATTGACAGATAACACATAAGGTGACAGAAGACGTGAGAAATATAAATTTCATCTTTAAAATTACTACCCAGTTTAAATGGAGCGGTCGCGGCGCGAGTCCCACCCGCAGCGAGCACCAACTATAGCAGGTCAAACAATTGAACATGAGACAGATCATCTGTCATCTGTCACAGATTTTGTCTCAAGGTTACAATGGCGTATAAATTAATTAATTTATACCCAGTCCCTTAAGGGACTGGGTTTTAATTCACTTGATATTCTTATAGTTATAACTTATGTAGGTATACTTTATATTTTAAGTGTAAGTTAAAATGACCTATAGAAAAATATTTTAACATATATTACAACTCTAGAGATACGTGGCGTGCATATTATGACGATTACAACTTTTACAACTTTTCGAATCGTTATATCTCAGAAACGGTGGCTCGTAGGAAAAAAAGTATTAATACATTTTTTATAGATAATTTTATGATCTACAATTTTGTTTGGGGTATTTTTATGATAAAACTTACCGTTTTGATAAAAATCGCGAAAAACTAATTTTTTTGACCTTTGACCTTGAATAAAAAGTTTTCCATACAGGGGAATGATGGGGAACTTTAAAATTTTATTTATAATTATATTCTGAACAATTTTAGTGATTTTCAGCTTGTTGTAAATTTATGTACCTTCACTGTTATTTTTTGGTCTAATTTGACCGGACTATTTATCTCTATAGGTAGGTACCTACAATTTCTCTGCTAAAAGTCTTATTAACTCTTCCAGAAGACTCCCAAATCTTGCTATTAATCTGACTTACCTACTAAAAGCTATTCTTATTTTGCATTTTTTCGACTTAATAAGTCTTTTTAAGAAAATATTCTTATTTTTACTTATTAAAACTTTTTCAGAATTTTTTTTTACAAGGGTCCACAATTCAGCAAATAAATTTGGTTTTACTCATATTATGATTTGGGATAACCTACAAATTTATTGACAAATGCATTAATTAATAAATTAATTAATTAATTTAAAAAAAGTGGTTATATTGTAAAATACCTGTATACAGATATATACATATGAAAAACTTTTTTATTAATATACTTTATAAAAAGTTATGCTTTCTCAAAAAATAATATTAGACTATAATTGACCCAAGAGAGAAGTACCTACCAAAGATAATACTATCTTTGGTACCTACTACTCTTAATTTTTATTTTTAGAGTAGAATGAAATAAATAAATGTAAATAAATGAAAAACTTTTTTATTAATATACTTTATAAAAAGTTATGCTTTCTCAAAAAATAATATTAGACTATAATTGACCCAAGAGAGAAGTACCTACCAAAGATAATACTATCTTTGGTACCTACTACTCTTAATTTTTATTTTTAGAGTAGAATGAAATAAATAAATGTTGCTTAAATTTAAAAGTTTTATCTTATTTTATATCCATGGTCTCCACGTTGGTACATTTGGCGTTTTCAAGTTAAAAAATATATAATCTTCCAAATTTTTTTTTTTTTAATTAGGTATTTAAAAAAAAAAATTTGGAACTATTAGTGATATTATTAGCTTTACTTTGCAAGAAAAATTAAAATCGCGGATGTAGCCGTTGTGGGTACATACACTTAAATGTATTAAATTATCAAATTATTGCGCAACAGTAAGCTTAACATGTGTTCTAGTGCAAATGATGCTATATATATATATATATATATATATATATATATATATATATATATATATATATATATAGATATGCAATCCTACATTACCAAGCCCGAAACGTTACATTCTACAGTATAAACGAAGCCCACTCGGTTTTTACGAAGCCCGAAATCGGGCTTCCTAAAATTAGCGTGTATAAATTTGTTTTAGAGTTAAGTGATGCCCCCTTGTTTCAATGGCGAAAAAGTGGTGGGCTTCCTAATGCCATTCAAACCTATCAAAATATACACCCTTAGTTCCAATGTTTTGGCGGTAGGGGGCACACGAGTCAAACGAGATTATATACAGCTTTGTATAAGTATTACG